GGGGGTCCGCCATATGCTGCAGTGGAGGAGCAGGGAGTAGTGATCGTGCCCAGTGGTCTAGGAAGCACGGAGGCAACACCGTCAAGGACCGCCCAGGACGGACACAAACACCCATCCACAGGCAGGATTTTTCTTCTCTACTCTGCCGCCGGTCTCTTCTTCTTGCCTCCGTCCTGAGCGGCCCTTGACGATGTTGCCTCCGTGTTTCCCACTCCACTGGGCACGATCACTCCACCCTGCTCCTCCACTATAGCATATGGCGGCCCTCCAAATCGGAACATCACGGTGGCTTTCCGCTTCAGCTCCTTATTTTCTGCCTTTAGCACACTTATCTCTGCTCGCGCATCCTTATACATGCGTTGGAGCAGAGCCAGTTGGGCGTTTAACTGCTACACCTCATTTGCCCTACTCTGCAGCCGGTTCGACAAGTTTGTAACCGCAGTCATGGTTTCCACACATGACTTCAATGTATACTGATTGGCCTCCACATCCGACTGCACTGCCATTCTTTGCTCCACAGACCGCATAGGAAAGTTCAACGGAGCAAACTCCGGGGCACTTGGTTGAGGTTCCAGTGCCACCGCACCAGTTATCTCTCTTGTTGACTCGTTGAGGTCGGGAAAGAGAGTGAGCAGACCGCGGGAAGACGAAGCCATTTTCTGGGCAACAGAGTGTTACAGACTATCTCTCTCAGCAAAAGGAACTATCTCTCTCAGCAAAACGAAGAGTTTTTTTCAGTGGTTTTTCGCAGGTTTTCTGCCTCAGCCTCAGCCTCCGCTTCGATTTACAAAGACCTTGCCGAAGAGGCAGACACGTGCATTATGCGCCGCTCAGCGCTCGCCGACAACTTGGCACGCCTTTTGATGGCACGTCTTTTTATAGAATGGGCACGCCTTTTGATGGCACGCCTTTTGACAGATTGGGCACACCTTTTGAGAGTGCGCCTTTTACAACGGTCCGACATGACCTCATAAACTGTCCCGACATTGATTCCGGTTAGCTTTTCCAGTGTCCTCTACAACGTTATGACACCACCATCCAGTGTCCTCTACACCGTTATAACACCACCATCCAGTGTCCTCTACACCGTTATGACACGACCATCCAGTGTTTTCACCAACGGTCTGACACGACCATACAGTGTCTCCTATCCTCTTTTATTTTTCTGTATTTTCTTGTTTTGTTCCTCTCTCCAAACTCAAAAAAAGAAGATGCTGATACTGAGGAGCTCTGATGGAGAGGAGTTTGCCACACAAGAAAACGTCGCTGTGAAGTCTACAACCATCAAGAACATGGTCGAAGACGGTTATGTTTTGTGTTAAAACCTTCACCTACTACACCTACCACTACCACCTACCACACACACTCACCTACTTCACCTACCACCACCTACTCCCTACACCTACATCTATATAAGGAACCCCTCAACATTTGTAATACATAACATACATCAATCAATAATATCAATCATCAATACATATTTCATTCTCTCTATTTTTCCATACATCAAATTTAACATTTTGAATGTTATTCCCGTGCCTAACGTAGACGCTAAGACGTTGGCGGTGGTAATTGAATACTGCAAGAAGCATGCAGAATCAGAGGCCAAGGAAGCAGCCAGAGATCTAAAAAAGTTTGACTCGGAGTTTTTGGACAGAGACCAAGAAGTTCTCTGTGATCTGATAATGACAGCGAACTTTCTGGATGTTAAGGAGTTGCTGGTAGCACTGTGCCAGACAGTAGCGGACATGATCATAGGAAAGTCGCCTGACGAGATTCGCAAAATTTTCAACATCAAGAACGACTCCACCCCCGAGGAAGAAGAGAAAATTCGAAAGGAGAATTCATGGGCTTTCGAGTGATCCAGGATGATGATTTTAATCTTTTTTTTAGGCTAGATATTTGCCAATTTTTGTTTTCATTTAAAAGGACATGCACTGATCGATCAACATAGTTTGTTTAGATTTTTTTTTATTTATTTATTTTTTTTTAAATCTTTGGATTTTGAATTAGGGTTGTTCTTTTTATATATTATGGGATTGCTTTTTTTTTTTTTTTTTTTTTTTGTTGATAAAGCTTACTGAGCTGTAAATTCTACTTGCCGCATATAGACAGTAATATTTGAGTAGTGATTGGGAGGTCTAAACCTAGAGTTCTAACATGAGATTTTGTGATTTGGTAAAAAATATATATATAAAATAATGTTTGAGAGTTTTAATTTGAGAGTTTTAATAATGTGAAGAGTGATCATGTGAAGGTAAGACCCACACTCTTCACTTCACTAGAGTTTCATTTAAAGATCTAGTATTAGAGTTATGTATCATTTCTAGAAAAAAAAAGTCAAAATATTACATCACCATGTGAGACCCACTATTAAAACTCTTAAATTAAAGCTAATATTTTTATATTTATAAATAAGGTGGGTTGTTTTTTTTTGGAGGGGGTTTTTTGGGTTAATAATAAATGTTTGGATGGGAACGTGTATGCATGAAGATCCGAGTGTTCAAGAAAGAACTAAAAATTAATGCCATAGCTTAAAATTCACATGGAACACAACAATTTTTTTACTCATCATGAAATTAAACATAATTTTTTTACATAGACGTGAGACCGATTACTCTAAATTATAGAAAAATTCATAAATTCACATGATACACAATAATTTTTTTACTCGCATAGAAATTATAGAATTAAATATAATTTTTTTTACATATGTGAGATCAATCACTCTAAATTATAAAAAATTTCAAAAATTCACATGATATATAATAATTTTTTTACTCGCATCGAAATCATAGAATTTTTTTTTTGATTGACGAAAGTTAATAGTTAGCTGTTAGATTAACATTTTGGGGGTGTTGAAACTCATATATATCTTTCAATAAAATCTTGCCCTCCTATTTTATTTCTATGAGTGAAACTCAAGACCTCCCCTTAAGAGAGACTTGGTGGCCAAAGGGCTAGCCAGTTAGATTAAAGCCCCTTGGTTTAGAAATCATAGAATTAAACATAATTTTTTTACATAGGTGTGGGACAGATCACTCTAAATTTAAAAAAAAAAAAAAAAATCAATTTTTAGTACATTCCGGTCATTAGCGTAAAATATTTGAAACAGCAAGGGCTTTGAAACAATGAACTTAGTAACAAACTTTTAAATAGTGTTTGAATTATTAATTTAAGTAAGAATTTATGAAAAAAATGAAATAAAGAAAGTGACATAAATATTTTCAAATTTAAGATCTAAATATAATTTTATAAGATCATCTGAAAAGCTGAATTTGAGCATTGAGGTTCGCTTTGCCTAGTCCCCTCCCTCACCCAAAAAAAGCATAATAAAGATATCAAGATCCACTCCTCACATGGCAAAGAAGGTGAAATTGACTAATTCCATCATAATAAGTTTAGCTATCATAAAAAAATTAAAAAAAAAAAAAATTCAGAAACTTTTCGAAAGCTGTCCTTGTTGATCGGCCTGTCGTTACTATTCATTGAGAAAGCAAAAAAAAAGTTGGGAAAGTTAAGGTGATAATAGGTGAATTTATTGTCAGATAAGTGTTATGATAATTAATAGTATTTTTTATTAAACACTAATTGTTAATTTTTAATAATAATTTAAAATTTTTGTCATAAAAAAATATCACTAATTATAAATTTTAACAACAGTTTAAAAATATCGTCACAAAAAAAGTCACTAATTTTTAACTTTTAGCAACAGTTTAAAAAATTCGTCACAGAAGAATGTCATTAATTATAAGTTTCAACGATAATTTATATAAACCATGACAAAAAAAGTCACTAATTGTCAATTATTAGTGACATATAAAAATCGTCACAAAAAATCATTTTTAACGACGATTTTATTTAGAGTTATTTTTAATAGGACTTGATTAAAATTAATTCAAATTATTAAGACCTATTGATAATTTATCCAAACAAAAGAGTTGATTTTAAATGATCCTAACCTAAGTGGTTATGAAAAAGGTACTTAAATGTTAGGATGAAGTTGTAGGTTGAATTTATGAAGAGGCATTGCCTTATGTTGTGATTTAAATACTAATATACTAAGGCTATTTTTATCAAATAAATAAATAAATAAACAAAATAATTTTAATTGATTTAATCAAAATCCTAATCGATTTTCAAATAGGTTTTAAAGAAACTCCAACGTTATTTTTTATTTTTCATTAGTTAAAGTACAAAAAATAAATATTTTTTATGAAAACTTTTTTGATAAGTCCTTTTTCTAAGAGTTTTGTATCTCTTATGTCCCCTATTAATATTGATTGTGATTATATTTTAATAGTTTCCATACATCAGGATATTAACTGTCATTATATTCATATTAATTTGAAATGAATTTTTGTCATTATGTTGTCAATTATATGATGTGAATATTCACATCATTATATTCACATTAATTTAAAATGAATTTTTCTTATCGTGTTGTCAATTACATGATGTGAATATTCATATTAAAACATATGAATGTGAATGTTCACATCACTATATGTTGTGAATAAGAATGCGTTGTCAATTAAAAATATAACATGTTGTGAACATTCATATCACTACATTAGATGAGAGAGAATTTTTCAGAAATGTGTTGTGAACGTTCACATCAGATGAGAGAGAATAGTGACATTATTTTTAATGTGCTTTCAATTAAAAATAAGAATGTTCATACGTTGTGAACATTCACATCACATTAGATGAGAGAGAATTTTTTGAAAAGGTGTTGTGAACGTTCACATCAGATGAGAGAGAATGTTTATTTTATTTTTAATGTGTCGTCAATTAAAAATATATTCACATCAGATGAGAGAGAATGTTCACATTATTTTTAATGTGTCATCAATTAAAAATATATTCACATTATATAATAATATAAAATAATAACATCAATGTTATTTAATTTGTGTATGAAATTTCCTATGCCTTGGTCCTTTCCCTTCTTTCTCCCTATACCCATTAGATATCAACATTAAATATCAATATTAAATATAAGGATATAAGAGTCTAAGAAAATAATGTAAATCAAGAAAAAAAAGATTTTATGGAATAAAAGTATAAATACATGGGATTAAGTGGGTTAAAAAACTCCCTCATGGACTTCTTGAGTTAGGACACTTCTAAATGACATTTATCAATAAAAATTTTATCTAATTATTTTTTAAGAGACAATTGCAATAGATAGCATAAACTCAAAATAATTACAAAAAGATGGAAGTACAAGAACTAGTTGCACAATCTAATGAATAGATTTTGATAAAAAAAAAATTTAATGCATAAATTGCTTGTACTTCTACGACATTGCAATTATTTTGTGTTGATGATATTTTTTTTTTGATGCTCTTCTCCTTTTATTTATTTATATGCTCCAATGCTATTTTGCCTATTTATCCGCACAGTTTAAAGAGCCTCTCAAAAATTTCTAAATATAGCTACCTTTATTTTTTTTTATTATTTATTTTTTTTTTTCTTCGTGTGTGTGTGTGTATTATATAAAATAGCTAGTGTAATAGCTAGCCTATTAAGTAAAATAAGACAAGACTAGCTATAATAGCCAACAAGTATCTTAGTTGAGAAAGACTACCTTATATTTGAATTTTTTTTTTTAAACAAAAAAAAAAAAGTCATTTTGGTTTAATTTTGTAAATTATTAATTTTTTAAAAATTTTTAATAAAAAAAACTTGTATGTTTGGGATGACTTTTTGACTAATTACGAAGAGCTGTGCAAAAAGTAGAGAGAAGCCGTAATTGTTGACTTTTTGGTATGACTTATTGGCTAATTGACTAATTTAGTAACTTTTTGGCTTTTTGGCTAAAACAGAGCCTTCCCAAACGAGGCCTTAGTTAAGCCTCCGTTTGGGAAGTGGGTTGACTTTTTGACTTTTTGGCTTTTTTGACTATTTTAGTCTGGACTTAAAAGTTTGGTTTGGGAAGGACTTTTTGGCTTTTTTAAGTTTTTTTTGTGAGAGAAGAATGTAATGATTATGGGTTGGATGTGATATTTTATTTGTTATGGCTAAAATAGCCTATTTTGTTTTTTGTGACTAAAATAGCCAAAAAAACCCAAACCATGGCTTCCCAAACGAAGCGTAAAATATGAGCTAAAAAAAACTAGTATGTTTGGGATATTTTTTGACTTTTTACAAAAAGATGTGCAAAAAATAGAGAAAAAAGAAAATCTTTGATTTTTTAGTATGAATTATTAATTTTTTGACTAATTTAATAACTTTTTGACTTTTAACTAAAAAGAGATTCCCAAACGAGACCTTACTATGCAAAGACACACAGCAAATAGACAATAAGACGGTGTTTGTTTGTTTAACGTGGGGAATTTCCAGGTCCTAAAAAATGAGTCCAGATCCCCTCCTTGAGCCCCCTCCTTCATTCCCTCCTTGCAGGGGCCTTCGGGTCCACTTTGAGACCCAGTTTTGATAATCTGAACCGTTCATATTTTTAGATTTATTCATTATAGTATACCTGTAAAAAATCAAGTTGATCGGATATCAGAAAGTATGCGTTCAGAAAATTGGGACTACAAACTATTTTTTAATAAACAGTTTTCCGAACACATACTTTATGATATTCGGATGATTTTTTGACTTTTTACGAAAAGATGTGTAAAAAATAAAAATAAAAATAAAATTTTTTTGATTTTTTTATATGAATTATTAATTTTTTAATTAATTTAATAATTTTTTGACTTTTTAACTAGAAGGGAGGTTCCAAACGACACCCTACTATGCAAAGACACACAGCAAATAGACAATAAGACGGTGTTTGTTTGTTTAACGTGGGGAATTTCCAGGTCCTAAAAAATACCTAGGCTCAGTTCTTCTTTCTGTTACAAACAAACAGCAAACAATAAAGAATCTCCGATTTTTCAGAGAGACAGACAACTGTTGTGTAGAAATTTTAGAATCTTCAAAGAAAGAGAAATGCGGACCTTGCCGTTGGGAATCTCATTGTCGCCGACAACAACCACAGCAACTTCCATTAACGGTCACTCTTTCAATTATCATTCTAACAAGCTCAAACTTCTCTCTCGCTCCTCCCCTCACTATTCCTCTCTCTCTCATCTCCCCAATTCAGGTCTCTCTCTCTCTCTCTACTTGGGAGGAATTTGTGTTTTTGAACATTTGTTGATTGTATCTTACACTTGTTTGGAGATTTATGTATCTATTGAGTTATTCTAATGATGGGTTTGCCTCAACATTTCTTAGTTGGACTGCCTTTTTTCTTTTTTTTTTCTTTGTGTTTTTAGGGTTATGACTTGTGTTTCTGTATTTTGAATTTGTCAACGTTGGACTTTGTCTTTATTTCTTTGTTCCTGGAAATAATTGTATTGTAGCCCCATTTGGATGTGGGGATTTCAAATGAAGGGGATTCGAAGTTGAATTTTATAAAATTATAAGAAGATTTGTTATTGAAAGTTGATGATAACTCTTAAGGCTGGCTGTGTTTGGAGCATGAATTTGGGTAAGGAATTGGAAAGGGGAAAATGTTATACTCAAATTATTGATATCAAATCCGTAAATCCAAAGGGAGCCCCTCAATGTTCTTATTGATTCACCGCCAAAATTGTTTTTGCCCAACCCTTTACCTTGATTTTTCGATTTTGTTTGCCAAAGTCCGCTAAAACTTTCTTTTTCTATTCATTTAAGGGTCTTATTAGCGGTTCCCTTAGGCACACGTTAACAAACTTAAAATGGTTGTACATTCCTTGTAAAAGTGGAGGGGTTAAAGAATCTGCAATGCTACCGTTTAATGTTTTGTTAATCAGGGCACCCGTTAACAAAAACCTTCATTTAATTGGTGTCCTTGCATTTCTGAATGGTTCAATCAAATTATTATTAGCTAGTAAAAGTTATTTAATAGCCATGTTTATGAATTTTTGAATTGAAATTGTCTAATTATGGCTGAATTTGCAGAATATTGCTTTAAGATCTCTATCGGCATAAAATGTCCCTTCCTTTGATGTACCAAGTTTTCATATGCAAAAGTTGCATTGTAACTTGTAATAGGAAGGTTAAATTTCAATCTGGGGTCTTCCCATTCTTGTCAATGGAGTGGTATAGCTCTTAATATTGTGTGCTTTACACTCGTATTTTGTAAATTTCATTTTTTATATCAATGGATAGCTTACTCATTAAAAAATAAAATGGCAACCTTACTGCCGAAGATAATCCAGCAGAATTTGACCTAAAATACACTACTTGGGAGATGCATCCTTAATTGTAACTTAGTCAGCAAGCTGCTAGACCAAGAAGCTCTTGTTATTGTAGGAACTAATTTTGAGAACCCAGAATCCTGCTTAACAATTAAAGTTTCTAACCTAATTGGGAGATCGGAATTTAAATGATTCTGTTTTTGGGTGTAGGGCTGCTTTGCAGGGCCAGTCAAGCGTTTGAACTATTCCCAACTGTGTCACCTGAAATAGTTGTTCGAGAGGCCAGGTTAGAAGATTGTTGGGAAGTTGCTGAGACTCATTGCAGCTCGTTCTTCCCCGAATATTCATTCCCTTTAGATTTTTTGCTGAGGATTGATAGGCTAGTGGCAATGCTTTCTGGATTCTCTGTACCTCATGGTTGTCAAAGAATTTGTCTTGTTGCTGTTATTGGCAGCTCGGATGATGATGCTTTCTTCATTGGAAGTGAAGATTGTAAAATTGGAGGTCTCGATGGTAGATTTAGTCTGAATAAAGGTTATGTAGCTGGGATATTAACTGTGGATATTGTTGCTGATTTTCTGCCAAGAAAAGGACCACTTCGGCAAAGAAGGTGAGATCAGTTTTCTTTTCTTTGTTGGTGGAGCTATTTCTGGAATTATGTGTTTTCTGTTCTGCATATACACTAATATTGTGCTTAACATTACCTTGCCATTTCCCAAGGAAAATTTTTGACATAAATTCTCATTACAGATACTTGTTATTATTTTACTTACCCAAAGAAATAAAAGGAAGAAAAAATAACTATTCGTCTGCTTGATTTAGTGGACAAGATCTTTGCTGAACCATGGTTCTAATCTAATGCATTCCTGGACCATCTTTTGTCCTCCTCATACTAAATTATTGACTATGTTAATTTTATCTTTAGAGTTTAGTCGATTGGGGTGTGCATAAGAGATAAGAAACCTAAATAACTTAAATATAGACTAATTTAAATGGGTCTCTAAGAATGATTACCACTATTGAATTCAGTTGACCTGTGGAATATAGTGCTATTTATTGACTGACTTGTGTGAATGTTGGCCTTTATGGCCAAACCACGTAAACCTGGTGTTCTCTCTCCTTTGTTATTTATACTGGTTTAAAATAGATAAGTAGGTCTGGAGTTACCCTCAATTAATCTTCCAATAGCTTCATCTGACCAACCAATTCTCCATTCATCTTTCTTGCTGGTTTTCATCTCATTATTTCTCTGTGCTATAAGAAATGTTGCTGGCTTTTGATGCCAGATTTTGTGACCACATGGGTTGGATCATGTTTTGAACTCTTGTAGATTTCATATATATATATATATATATATTTTATCAGCAACAAAAAGGGGTTTTATTAATTATGAAAAAGAGAAGTGAGGACAAGGAGTCCTCTTGTACATTTCATATTTTCACATGCCAAAAGAGCATAGTGCAATTTGGCAACATTTATACCATTTTGTTTGGGCATAAAATATTGGGTGCATGTCGAAGTAGACATGTTGGACACATATCTCATATTCTTACTCCATTGTGTGTCAAGTATCTGACATGGGTACTTTGCAAATGTAGAGGAGCCCATCTAACATAGATTTTGCTCCAGAGTTTTCAACTTACACCCATAAATTGAAAGGTTTGGTCTATACCCAATCTACTCCTCCCAGACTCTCATCCAATGTGGACTAAACTGCACATACATTATGTAATTTATGTGCAATCAATCTTCATGTCCTGTAAGTCCGTGAAATGTTGAAATTATTTCATACCAACTTGTTTGGTGAAGTTAAAAAGAAGCATTTGAGAAATTTCAAGCAATGTTAAATCAAAAAGCGGTAGGGGGTTCCCAACACAACTTGTGGCAAAGGTCAATAAATGGTTCAGTCACCCTGGAGGTAGGCTTAGTTTCTAGGACACAAACTGATGATTGTAGACTTGTAGACTGAGTTCAAAAAATAGTGGGCAATACAAAAGAAATAAGCGGGTTGAAGGGAAGTAATGTCATTTGTCCAAAGCACATCTGTTCACATTTTTAAGTGTTTAGAAAATGATTTCCTGGACCTGCTTGCTCAAGGTTCCTTGTAGACGCATCCTAGTCTGGAAGTTCGGTTACTGAAAATTTTTGTGACATGTAATTTATGTGCTTAACGATTACTGTTTTAGTTTCTATTAGCTGTTATGTTTCTGTTTTAAGAACTTGAGTATGATCTTTGTATTCATCAAGTTGTTGAAAATGTTCCTTGCACTTCTTAATGAAAAAAAGTTATTCTCTTACAAGTGAGGCATGAATGTTATCATTGCAGGACTGGAATTGCATACATATCAAATGTGGCTGTTCGGGAGAAGTTTCGAAGGAAAGGAATAGCTAAAAGGCTCATAGTGAAGGCAGAGGCTCAAGCCAGAAGCTGGGGTTGCCGTGCCATTGCATTGCACTGTGACCTAAACAACTGTGGAGCCACGAAGTTGTATGTAGGCCAGGGTTATAAATCTATCAAAGTGCCAGAAGGTGCAAACTGGCCACAACCAAAGACTTCTCCGGATATACAGTTCAACTTCATGATGAAGCTCCTAAACACCCCAACCATGGCTTAGATTCCTTAGGGACATATACAAGTATTTAGAAGAAAATCCATTGAAATATTACGGATAAACTAGGATGTTTCAGATTGGTTGCTGTAGATATAAACTGAAGCGGTGAGCTGCAGATCTCGGAGCAATGTATTTATGAAAAGTCAGTTGTTTTTACTTGCGCTTTTCTTCTTTGGCTTGTTCTATTGCTTTGACTGTTTGTTCATCTTTGCCAGATTTACGCACCTCAAGTTCCCTGTTTGTTAAACTGTTGTAAAATGGAATGGACGAATAATCATTCAACTCTGTGGTGGCATGTTCTCTCTTTGTTTCTGAATGCAATTACTCATTTCTAAAATCTCAGATTTAGAGTTGGAATTAGTCCATCTGAAACTACATCGTTTCTCTCTCTCTCTCAAAATTCTTTGATAATACTTAAGATGGGCTGTGGAGATTATCAAATAGTAAGCGAAAGAGATTTGGAATCTGGGTTGGCGTACCTAACGTTCAAAAGGAAAGAGATTTGGAATCTGGGTTGGTGTACCTAATGTTCAAAAAGATAACAAACGAAGAAGAACAAAAAATAGCAACACTATATATGAAGAGAATCTTTCTACATACTTAAAACTAGGGAAATCCTAAATTACCTTAGATCTGATTACAGATTGTGTTAAGTTAAGTTGGTTAATAGGTTTATATCTTAGTTTACGAAATTCAGAGTTTGTCTGGGCAAGTGTCAGACTGAGTATTAGATAGTTAAGTTTCATGAACAACATCACAACCTAAGTACTTTGGAAGTCATCAATATCAAATCGTGCATGGAGTTATGGAGTTTGCATACAAAAACTATGGGTTTGTTTGTTTTGAAGGATTAGGGCATGAGATTGGACTATTAGTCTCACCGGACTAATAGTCCATTGTTTGATTCAATTTTTTTGCTCCGGATTAATAGTCCCTCCGGACTAGTAGTCCCTCATATGAGGGATAATTGTATCCTAAGGGGGGAGGTGAGATTATTTCCTTGGAATTGGTATCCCATGGGATTAAGGTGTGAAATGTCCATTTTACCTCATGTTATTACTTAGCAAACAATTAAAAAAAGGGTAAAATAGTCTTTTGAACATTTATAAATTATTTTTTGTGTTGTTAATTTAAAATTATATATTAAATAAAAAATTTTAATTATAACATATATATTATAAATTTAATTTAAAAATAATAAATTAAAAATTATGGCATTATAAATTAAATTTTTTTAGTGTTGTTAAAAAATTAAATTTACATATTAAATAAAATTATTTTTTTAGTGTTGTTAATTTAAAATTATATATTAAATAAAAAATTAAATTATAAATTAAATTAAATTAAAAATAATAAATTAAAAATTATGGCCTTATAAATTAAATTTTTTTAGTGTTGTTAAAAAATTAAATTTAAAAATAATAAATTATAAATTATAAATTTAATTTAATTTAATTTAATTTTTTTTAGTGTTGTTAAATTATAAATTATAGATTACAAATTTAAAATTATATATTAAATAAAAATTATAAATTACAAGAGTAAAATAGTTTTTTGAACATTTATCCTTATCCAGTCCGTCTAACCAAACATTGGGTTCACTAAAAATAGTCCAATCCAGACATCTAATCCAATGACTAAACAAACATAGGATACAAATCCAATCCAACCAAATAGTCCGGGGACAATGTATCCCGGGACTAACAGTCCAATGAATTACAATTTCCCTTTATTCAGTCCGTCCAAACAAACACACTCTATATGAAATTTTACAAGTTGTATGTAGAAATTGTGAAATTTTGCAATTTTTCGAATAATGAAAAACTTTGCAATTTTTAAAATATCAAGAAACAAAAACCCATGAAACAATAAAATTTTCAGTTTAAAAAAAATCTGGAAAATTATCAATTTTCATAAAACTTCATTATTTACTCTACAAAAATTGAGAAATTTTAAATTTTGTTTTTAAGATTAAAAGCCAACTTTTATAGTGATGTTTATCTAGAAAAAGTGTGTATAATTTCATATTTTCTGTGTTATAATTAAAATATTAAAAAAAGAGAAATGCTTTAGACCACTAATTAGTGGTGGCTCTAATGATGTACCCACTGCCACAGTGTGTTTGTGCCTTGTTTTTTTTTTTTTTCAATTGTCACTTCACTAGTGGTGGGATTAGTGATGGCAAATTAGTGGTTACTCTTAAAAAAATATCATATCCCAACACAACATAAAGTATCATTAAAAAATTTATGGGGGATAACTAAAATAATACCATAATTTTTTATTTTTTTTTTAAAAAGGACTTAATTAGGGATCGTTTGACAATGACTTTTTTAGTTGATTTTTTGGATTTTTTTTTACTTTTTTAGCTTGAGACTTTTTTAGTCGTTTGGTATTCTTGTTTGACTTTTTAGCTTTGGAATAACAAAATTACTCTTAGTATAGAATGATGCTTTTTGACTTTTTATTTAGAAAAATGTTTCTGCCCCCGTCAAAAATCGACCCCCTCGACCCCCTTTGAGCTAGACCATCACGTGATCAGTCACGTGATATACATATCCCACGCACCTTCCTCTTTCAGAATTCAAAATCCTCTGAGCGAAATACAGCTTCACTCCTCCCCTTCACTCGGACGAACTCCCAACTCCGACGGCCGACTCCCTCAGCTCCTCCCTTTCACTCCGACGTCCTTGACTCGGACGACCGACGACGTCCTTAACTCCAACGCCCGACGCCCGACTCTCTCTCTCTCTCTCTTTCCATCTCATTCGACGGACAACTCCTCCCCTCCTCCCCTTCCACGCCGACAGCAGGTCCTCCTAGTACAATCTACTCCGTTAGTTAATTTGTTATTTTGCTGAAATTAGGGCAATGTTCAATACTATATCTCTCTCTTTCCTATTTGAATAAACATTGCCCTAATCTCTCACTTTCCATCTCTAATCTCTCTCTTTCCTATTTGGAAACATTGCCCTGATCCTATTTGAATGTTTAATACTATATCTGAAAATATGTATCTTGCTGAAATTAGGGCAATGTTCAATAAAAGGGCCTTTTGTCATGATGATTATCTTGACATTAATTTCTTGCTGAAAATATGTATCTTGTCATGACATTATTATCTTGTTGAATGATGAAAATATGTATCTTGCTGAAAGTAGTTTGATGAGTGCTGTTCCTCAATTTGAAAATAAGTATGGCTATGCCTATGGCTGTTTAGTTAGAGGATTAACCAATTTCTTCATGTGTCATTACTCTGTGTGGACTATTGGAGATCAATTACAGGGCATCTTGTTTGGTGAATAAAAGACCTATTCTGAGAAGGATCTCATTTTCTTACAGTTTTATTCAAGTCTCTTTTGCTTGTTAATTTAACATGACACTAGTTTATGGAGGTAAATAGTTTATTAATCATTATATCACCTACTCTTCAATTTTTGGTTGACATTGGTAATGAAACCTAGACAGAATTATGAAGGTGAAATTACTTGTGCTTTTATGGAATTGTATTGAGAATTTAAAGTTCAATCATGTCATACATTGAGTTTATTTTTTGCATACTCAAAATATGTTCTCTTTTCATATGGTTTCTTAATTTCTCATATTTTCTCTGCAATCTTTATTCACCAAAATAGATATATACACCAAAATTCCTCAAAGTTATATATACATCTAACTATGGCTGTTTAGTTAGATAGGTAATTGAGAAATCTGAAATAGCTCCTCAATCTGAAATTTGAAGTAGATAGGTAAAATCTGAAATTGCCAATTGACAGTGTCGAATCTAAAATCTGAAATTGAGCATGAACTTGAGGCAATGTATATGTTGTTGAATCAAATTTCTAAAATTGAAATTTGTTGAATCAAATTTCTGAAAAGTTTGTATCAGTCAAAGAAAACATTGTGAGAAAAAAGTGAAAGTAAGGATAGAAAACTATGCCCCCAAACACTCATTTGAATAGCACAACTGTGGAGAAAAGAATCTTGCATTCCCTGTCATGACCCGCTCCCCGTACCCAAGGGTTAGGCATCGTGATGGCCAGTAACCGAGGTTACCTCCGGCCAAATCTTTAAACAATTTAATAAACGCAAGCGGAAGAAATATGTAAATAAGGGTACTAAAATAATCATTGGAGCTTCTATTTTTATTACAAAAGGTATTGACCAAAAAGGCCGATTTTTACATTAAAAAAATACATCAATAAAAGTGTTTTGTGCCTACTCCACACGCTGGTCCCGACATGTCACCTGAAAGTGGTAAAAAAACTATAAGCTCATGGCAGAGTGAGAAATATTATACTAAGAGTATAAGGCATAAAATTCACCATGGATAATTAGTTAAGCCAAAAAGAGCTTGATACATACATAATACAGAAATCATTTGATATTAAAATGCATCATATATAATACGGAGATCATTTAACATATAATACGTAAATCACTATACAACCATAACCACGGTACATCACTAAGTGCCAAGCACTACACTGGTCAATGGATCCATGACAAACGCTGGACCACAAAGTGGTCAATCACTAAGCCCATGGTTATTTACGTCCCCCAAGGCATAGGACTCACTAAGCCAATGGTTATTTAAGTCCCCCAAGGCATGGGGCTCCCGTGGTGATACTTACAAAATATATTTTCATATAAGGTCATAGCCAAATATTCTTTAAGAGTAAAACAAACACATCCATGGGTTTCCTTTTAAGCAAATAAGGTTCAGCAATAAAACCACGTAACTGAAATCTTTATAAAACATAACTTTTATTAAAAACATAACTTTTATAAAATAGATTTTGGTAAATCAAAATATAAGTAAAATACATTTTGGTAACTCAAGGTATACTATAGCTCACCTTAACCTTAATACCTTACTCTCTTTTTTCACTATCAAAGATCCTTTCACCTTCCACCATTTCTCTCTTCTTTTCCTCACTTTCCTTTCTTTTCTTTTCTTTTTCTTTCTTTTCTTTCTCTCTCTCTTCCTTTCTTTTTTTTTCTTCCTGCCGTTTCCTCTCCAGACGCCTCCGTATTTATAAGGGGAAAAGGCGCTACGTGGCAGATTCAGTAATAATTATATAGATTCGTTCTTATCCTTAATAGATATTTAAGATAATTACTTTTTGACCTAATATTTTAATATAATTATATAAATTGATTAATTCTTAATTAAATTACACATTATCACATACTAACAGAAAATTAATTATTTATTTTATTATTATGTCCATTATTATTATTATTATTTATATTTTGACCCCTAAACTTTTAATAATTATATTATTTTACAAAATTACACATAATAATATATAATAAATTATATATTTTCCGAACTGAGATTAAATAATATTAGTATAAATTCTACAGAATAATTAGAAATCTGGGTCGTCACATTCCCACTCTAGATAGAGATTCTGTGGATGTACAGATAATAACATCTAAATTTTTTCAAGTTTTGAAACATTTCCAGATAATTAAGATTTCATGCAATTGTTTGAACTTTGTTATAGTTGTGTCAAGAATACAGAGAAATTTTACAAAATGAAATATGAATGAGAGGTGAAGGAGTAATCTACAAATTCTTTATTTATATTTTCATTTATGCCTTTGATATTGATATGCAGTATACCATTAGTTTTAGATAGAATAGTGCACCACAAAAATAAAATCTCAAACTAAAAAAATTAACATTAAGTTTTGTTTAATGCTTAAACATGTATAATTCTAATGGAATTAGGCAAATAAAATGTTAATTACTTATGGGCAACACAATAATTGTTGAATTAAAGAAATTTGGTGCCTACAAGAAATCTGATCACATGTTGCAAGTATATTAGTATAATGGGAATGCCACTTGGTGTAAATTACACTAAATTTCTTTCCTTCAAGAATGTGAGCCTATGAAAAGGAATGACAGTAGAGGAAGTATTTTGATTAAGAAAAATGTTATACAAATTATCTTTATTCACTAGTTTAATGAGGATAACTTGTTATTGCAGATGTCAAGTTCAACTGTCAACGCCTGTAGCTCAGATCGGTTGATGTACTTCAACAAAAATTGTCCTACATGTAAGAAAAAGGCCATGATTCAAATTTCTGAGACCAATCGAAACAAAAACAAGCTATTCTACTTTTGTAATGGTTGTGGTCTCTTCATTGGATGGTGTGTGCCTATGAATTCACAATGTGGAGATCAAGAAATTCCAAGACAAGTAGAAAGAGAACTGCTAAGATCTATGACGGAACAAGTTCGAGCTATGACCGAACAACAACGATTTATGACGGAATAACTTGGAGCTATGACCGAACAACAAAGATCTATGACGGAACAATTTACCTTTGTTAATGCAAAGATGCAAAAAATAAAATTTCTGATGTTTGTCTTGCTTGTAATTGGTGTGTTATTACTTATGAAGATGTAATGCTACTTAGAAGTAGAATTAGAAGTAGATTGAACTATGTTTTGTTGTGGAATGGAATATGTATTGTTGAATATGTTTTGTGGAATGGAATATGTTTTGTTGTGAATTGTTGAATTTTTGAGTGGAATGGAAATGAATTGTTGAATTGTTGAATAAAGATGTGGAATAAAGATGTGGTATTGTGGAATTGTTGTGGAATGAAGATGTTATGGAATTGAAACAGGTTTTAAACCATGACAGATTTGACAGATTTTAAAACATGACAGATTTGAAACAGGTTTGGAATGAAGACAGGTTTTTTACAGGTTTGGAATGAAGACAGGTTTGGAACGAAGACAGATTTTAAACCATGACAGATTTGGAATGAAGACAGGTTTTTTACAGACAAGTTTTTTTACAGATTTTAGCATGAACCAGCACAGTTTGTGCATGAAGCGTGACATATTTTTTTAGACAGGTTTTTTAACAGATTTTTTACAGATTTGAGCATAAACCATGACAATTTCACCATGAACCATGACAGATTTTGGCAGTTTGGCAGGTTGAACCATGAACTTAAAAACAGATTTTTAAAAAATATAAAATAGCTTGAACTTAAAAAATCAGATTTAATTTTGAACTTAATTTTCAAAATAGAAAATTAAAAAACAGATTTTCAGATTTTCAAAGACAGATTTTTAAAGACAGTTTGGTAGGTTGAACCATGAACTTAAAAAATCAGATTTTGGCTCAAATGCTGTCAAAATAGCAAACTGAAAAACAGATTTTTCTTACAGATTTCTTAAACCAACATCTGTCAACAGAGATTTTGCATGAACTCTCAAAAAATCATGCTCAAACACTGTCAAAATGCTCAAATACTGTCAAAATAGCAAAATGAAACAGATTTTTTACAGATTTTTTTAAACCATCAACTGTGAACTGAAAATGCTGAAAGACAGATTGTCAAAATAAACCATGAACTCAAACAACAATCTTGCATAACCAATAAAATGGGACTTAATAATAGCCAATCTTGCAAATTCATACACAACATTTTCAGTACACATGTAACATGGGACTTAACATAATAAGTTTCAATCTCGAAAACAAAATGCCAATGTTCAATAAACTAGTCAAACATTTCTACAATCTCCATCATTCATTCGCGCTGTGCAATGTCCATCATTCATTCCCGATGTGCATGCATTAGAACCTGATGAGGTTAGAGATCCAAAGCCAAACATTTGAGTTGGAGCACTCATCAAACTTCTCGGTGTGCCGTTTACAAAGTCGGATGGCATAAGAGATGTGGCTTCAATAGCATTTACGACCTGTCATAATTGAAGTAAAAAAATGCATGTTACAAAATATTTGTAAATGAAAACAAAAAATTGATGTAAAGTCGTCTTATGAACACATACTGGTGCATACGCACTATTTTGCATGCCAACCATATAAGGATAATATGATGTATAAGCTTGAGCTTGAGCTTGAACTTGAGCTTCAAATTGAAGCACCTTAACAGCCTATATTGGTTCAAGAGTTTGTAAAAATGTACTTCAAACAAGTTTGTTAAAAAAATAAAAAACAAGTTCAATTAAATATACAATTTACCTTTGCTTTTGTTTGTTTTTTTGCCGTTGCCTTGAACCGATTCACTGTTTGATCTACTTTGGCAACCTTTCGTTTCGTTACTGGACGGCCTCTTCGCCGAACAACCAAAGGACTAACTAGCTTCCTCGTACTAGCACCCGATGTACAACCGGTGGCAATTGGACTTTTTGTAGAAGATGGTATCCTATTAGTAGAAGGTGGTAAATTACTCTCATCACCCAATTCATTGTGCATGACTCTATCCTTCATTTCATCCAACCCAAGGTCTATAATTTTAATTTTCCTTTCTGAATTACCAGCAAGTTGTATAATGGTGATCAATTTCTTGTTCATCCTCTCATAACAACTTGTATTGAAATCATCCCCAAAGCCAGTGTACGTGGTTTTGATGCATGTGTACTCTCGAACCAAATCTTTCCTCTAACATGGCAAAATATACTTACTTGGCACCTCATTTATGCACCTTCTCACAAGCACCGCGAGTGAGTGAGCACACATAATGCCTCTAAACTGAAACAACCAACACATACATTGAACTTCACATTCAATTGAATTAAAATACACAACAAAGTCCACATGTTTTATCTTGTTACCATCGCTTCTTGGACATTATATGTACAAATTGCTCCCTCCTCTTTGACAATCAAGGCTTGACAGTACACTAATCTCTTCAACTCTCCTTGAACTTCTTTGAATTTTGCATTGGTGTAGGCTTGTTGAAATTGCTTCTCAAAGCCATATATAGTTAGACAATCAAACAATTTGTGTCGAGACTTGAAGTCTGAATTCTTCTCTTTCTCTACCTTACTTCTCAACGCATTGTCATATTGTTCAACAAATTGTTTTAATGTAGTCTTCAGGTTGACATATCCATCAAAAAATGCATTCATGCTTTCACTTTGTTGTGTTGTTGACATGCCAGCCCAAAAAATGTCTTTAACATATACAAGAACCCATCGATGCCGCTCATGATATAGTACCCCCAACCACTCATTATCATAAAGATTGAATTTAGTAAGCATCTCTTCTAATTTTTCCTCAAATTCATCTCTTGTCAAACAATCGTAAATTGCATTTTGCATAGCCAACTTTATGGGTTCATACTGAGCATATCCTTTCAACTTCTCCGGCGTTTTCTTCATTACATGCCATAAGCACCATCGATGCCGGACCTGTGGAAAGACAATTTCTATTGCATTTTGCATAGCTCTGCACTGATCAGTTATGATAGCTTTTGGAGGTTTATTTGACATGCAACTTAACCACGACTTGAATAGCCAAACAAATGTGTCGGTGTCTTCACTAGATAACAATCCACAACCAAGCAAAATAGGCTATCCATGGTGATTGACTCTTACAAATGGAGCAAATGGCATGTCATATTTGTTCGTCAAATAAGTTGTGTCAAATGAAATAACATCTCCAAATGATTCATACATAGCCCGACTCCTTGCATCAGCCCAAAACAAGTTTCTAATGCGAAACTCCTTATCAACATCAATCACATAAAAGAATTTCTCACTATGTGCTTGTATCCTCATAAAATAACTTTGAAGTGATTCGGCATCACCTTCACCAAGCCTTAATCTTCTAGCTCTATTAATGTAATTCCTTGTATCTCGCTCATCAAATGTCAATGACTCGTATCCCCCCGCTTCAACAACCATTGAATGATAGTTCCTAGACACCCCAATCCCTGCTTGATCATTGATTTCTAATATTCTTTTCACAGGAGTACGAATTTTCTTATTCATTGCAAAATGACGAGAGTCGGTGGGAATCAAATCATGATTATGCTCAAGGTTAACTGTGGTTGACATATATGTCCCATTCTTTTGTAGAGTACCTCGTACCCTTGCTTTACAACCAATTTTTGTGGACAAAGATGGCTTCAAAGGGTTCACTTCTGATTTCTTTTTTCTCTCCCCCGCTCGAGAACATTCAATTGCAAAGTTTTTTAATTCGCCATCATCTCCAAAATGTTGTGCTCTATGAGCTATAGAAAAGCCAACATGCTTAGCATATGTGGCATAAAATGTGTACACTTCTTCCCTTGAGCTAAAACACATACCCTTGTTAGGTTCTTCAACTTGTTCCCCCTCATTTACTGAAGGATTGTCACCACCATTTGAATCAACCTCAATTCTATGAGAATCAAAAATAAAATTCAAATAGAATGATTTTAGAATAATTATGAAACTGTTATGTTGAACTTTACATTGTGATAATTTAAATTTATGTATAACTAATAGCAACTTCAATTTCAACCTCAACCTCACATAGTCATGTTATATGTGATTTTGAAACTGTTAACTTCAATTTCAAACTTTGAAACTGTCATGTTCAATTTCAACCTCACATAGTCATGGTATATCACAGAACACATATTAAACACTGTTAAAAAAAAAAAAAAACCATACAGATGATTGTACTGTTATCACATATTATCATAGAGATTGATCAATGTCAACTTCAACATATTATCACAGAGAAAAATCAATGTCAACTTCAACATATTATCACAAAACACACATATCACAAAGATTGATCAATGTCAACTTCAAAAACCATACAGAACACATATTATCACAGAACACATATCAACTTCAACCTCATTGTTATGTTAAAATGTTCATAACATAGACATTTCAACATCTTTTTAACAATCCACATCCAGTCATCTTATTCAACTGCTTGGCTTAGTCATCTTATTCAACTGCTTGGCTTAGTCAGTTAAGTTTGTTAACTTCTCAAAAACTAAATAACAAAACACATAAGATTTTGGTGACCTCTTTGGTATCCTTTCTAAAAACTGTTTCCTATGTTGAGAATTTAAAATGTGAAAACAAACAGAAAATTGTTCGGAAATCATTTTTCAAGAAATCAAAATCATTTTTCAATAAATCATTGATTCAAGAAATCATTTTTCAAGACCTCTTTTGGACAAAGCCCTGATTCAATAAATCATTTGTACAGTTTTCAAAAGCTCACACCTAATACAGAACATTGAAGAACCCCCTGTATGTAGATCATTTGTACAGAACATTCAATAAATCATTTGTACAGACATTTCAGATTGATCAATGTATGTAGATAGAGAGAGGGGAGAATGAGGGGTTTTCGAATAACATTACCTGACAAAATGTGAAGAACCCCCTTCAAAAGAATGTGATCGAAGATCCGTAGAGCGAGATACAGAGAGTTATGGCCGGAGAGTTATGGCTGGAGAGCTATGGCCGTCGACGGAAGAGAGCTATGGCGGATGCACGATGAAAGAGAGAAGAGGGAAGACGGACAGGGCCGTCGACGTTGTGGTAGCTTCCCGTTTTTTTTTTTGTCTTTGTTTTCAACCTCTGTTTTTTTTTTTTTTTTGGTCTTACAGGTGCGTGTATCACAGTTTCTTCATTGTGCAATTGTTTTTCACATTACTTCAACAGTTGTCACCTCAGAGGGGGCTGTGGGGGTTGGTTTTGAAGGGGGTCCGTATCGCAACTGTTTTATTTATATACGGGATAGTTTGATACTTTTGTAACTTTTTTTTTTTATCTTTTGTGATTATATAGCCTAGCAAGAATGTCAAACCAAGGCTAATTTTTTTTTAAGATAACCCGTCTTTAAACACTAGAAAATAAATCGGACCCCCTGAAGGAGGCACCCCCTTTGATCTCCTCTCTCTCTCATTGGCCAATTTTTTTTTTTTTTTTTTTTTTTTTTCCCTTCTCCTTCTCCCCCCCCCCTCCATATATGTGTGAGGCGGTGAGACGATGATTGGAGGGGTCTCAATCACATCTCTTAGACATTTTAGTTTAGCTTAAACGACACCGCATCAGTTTGGTACCTTCAGCCGCCTCAATTATGAGGCGGTTTGTGAGCAATTATTCACTGCTTCAGAACCAGTAACGTGGTATATTAAAATTAGATCTAGATCATGTATTCATATGAGTCCACGTGAAACTACCAGAATCGATGGTTTAGATCTGTTTATAACATTACCACATGTGGCAGTGAATAATTTTCACCGTCAATATATATAAGCCCTATCCCAACACCGAGTCGAGTCTTGTGTGTGTGTGTGTTGTCGTCGAATAGATCTATTTCGATCGAAAAAGTGTTTTCTAGGGTTTCGAAGTTGCAGAAGAACAAAGATGATCGAGGTGGTGTTGAACGATCGATTGGGGAAGAAGGTGAGGGTGAAGTGCAACGACGACGACACCATTGGAGACCTCAAGAAGCTCGTCGCCGCTCAGACTGGTACTCGCGCGGACAAGATTCGTATCCAGAAGTGGTACAACGTCTACAAGGATCATATCACCCTCAAGGACTACGAGATTCACGACGGCATGGGCCTCGAACTCTACTACAATTAGGTCTTCAATTTCTTCCTCTCTCAATTTGCTTTTGAATTGTCTGATTCAACTAGTTCTTCAATTTTTCTCTTAATCGATTTCTAATTGTTGGATTTGTGTGCTTAATTTGATTCCGTCGTATTGACATGCTTTAATTAGGTCTTCAATTTTTCTCTTAATTGCTTTCTAATTGTTTGATTTATGGTTATATTCATATGCTTTGTTTGATTTTGTCGTATTAACAAGCTTGAACTAGGTCTTCAATTTTTCTCTTAATTGCTTTCTAATTGTTCGATTCAAGTGCTTGTATCAACATGCTTTCACTGGATGGAAATTTTGGATAAGTATTGAATTTGTTTCTGTTTTGATGGTTTCTGCCTTAATTTCATGAAGACGTATTGTATTGGCCTCTTTTTTTATCTGCCTTGTGACTTTTTGTGGATGGTGATGTTTTTGGGATTTGGTATGGTTAGGAATGAGTAAGGCATCCGACATAAATCTAAATTTTATGAGAAATTGGAGAGATTATTGATTGAATTAATATAGAATTCTTGAGATTGTTGAACTCTGCTTAGAACTTGTGCTTTTGCAATATAAAGAAGCTATCACTTGTTTTGAGGCAACACGAACTATTTTTATTTTATCCTTCCAGACCTCATCCAAATGGTACTAAACTGGATGTACTTTTTAAGAAAAATGAAGGCACTTGCACATAAACAAAACACAAAATGTGCACAGAAAGCTTAAGGTCTGGTCTAGATTTATTCTCCTTTTAGTGGGACCACACCTAAAATTATTATTGTCAAATCGTGAATTGTTTTGCCAAATAGTGAATCGTATGATTAGTAAGGTTAACTTTATTTAGCATAATATATAAGTTTAAAAATGTATGTGTGTATTCATTTAAAAATACATATGTAATTTTTAAAATGAAATAAATATCAATATAAATATATTGTATATATATGTATATGCATATAAAAATCAAATCAAACCAAACCAAGCCAAGCCTTAAGTCCCATCAAATGGGGTCGGCTACATGAATCCTTCTTCTCCACGCGGCCCTATCAAAAGCCATTTCATTAGTCAACTTAAGTAGATTCATATCTTTATTTATAATGCTAGTCAACGTTAATCTAGGCCTACCCCGTCCCCTAACACTTCCATCTACCGTTACAATATCGTATCTCTTCACTACTGCCTCTGTTGGTCTTCGTTGAATATGACCAAACTATCTCAAACGATTCTCTCTCAACTTATCTTCTATCGGTGCTACTGCTACCCATTCCCGAATACACTCATTCTTAATCCTGTCTTGTCTAGTCTTACTACACATCCATCTTAGCATCCTCATCTTAGCACACTCGTCTTATCTACATGTTGTTTTTTGGTTGCCCAACATTCCGTCCCATACAATATAGCTGGTTTAATAGCCGTTCTATAAAACTTACCTTTTAGTCTAGTTGGTATTCGTTTATCGCACAATACCCCAGACGTACTTCTCTACTTACACCATCCCGCCTTAATCCTATGGGCCACATCTGCATCAATCTCTGCCGCTGTTGTGATAATTGACCCTAAATAGCGAAAATGTTTACGGAGCAAGAGCTTTTTTCAAAATCTCCAACTTTGTGTTAACTCCTTCTCTAGTCTCATCAACTAGCACAATATCGTTTACAAAAAGCATACACCATGGCACGTCATTCTGAATATTTATCGTCAACTCATCCATAACTAAAGCAAAGAGATAAGGACTTAAGGTAGATCCTTGGTGTAACTCTACAGTGATGGAAAATTCATTTGTCTCTCCAGTTGGCGATCTAATAGTGGTCACCACCTCTTAATACATGTCCCTAATCACGTCAATGTAACCTTTTGTCACCCCTTTCTTCTCTAACACCCACCATATTATATCCCGGGACCCTCTATCATATGCTTTCTCAAGTTCGATAAACACCATATGAATGTCTCTTTTCTTTTCTTTATACTTTTTTATTACTCTCCTCAAAAGATAGATCGCTTCCATTGTTGACTTACCAGGCATAAACCCAAATTGATTCTCTAACACCTCTGTCATGTCTCGCAATCGGCGTTCCATCACCCTCTCCTACACTTTCATTATATGACACATTAGCTTGATTCCTATATAGTTGTTACAATTCTGGACATCACTTTTATTCTTATAGATTGGCAGTAAAATACTCTTCCTCCACTTATCTGGCATGTTCCTAGTTAACAAAATTTTGCTAAACAACCTAGTCAACCAAGCAACTCCCTTTTTACCTAAATATCATCGGGTCCTAAAGCCTTATTTGATTTCATCTTCTTAAGGGCAATCTCTACTTCAAATATCATCGGGTCCTAAGGCTATTTTTTCACCTATTGTCGTACCTCCATGTTCCTCATTTAATAGTTTCTCAAAATAATTCTTCCGTCTTTCTTTAATCTCATCATCCTTCACCAATACCTTAGAATCCTCACTCTTGACGCACTTTACTTGATTAAAATCTCTTGTTTTTCTCTCCCGTATCTTAGCAAGTTTGTATACCGCCTTCTCTCCCTTCTTACTATCTAGTCTAGTGTATAGGTCATCATAAGCTTTCAACTTAGTTTCTCTCACTACTTTCTTGACCTCCTTATTAGCCAATCTATAGCTCTCAAGGTTTTTCTTAGTTCTATCCTTCTGCCACTTTTTAAAGCACTCTTTTTTTGCCTTAACTACCGCTTGAATCTCTTCCCTCCACCACCAAGTTTCCCTAAAGCTGGGTCTCGTATATGCATATAAAAACATGTATATTAATATAATTAATTGATTTTTTTTATTTTTTATTTTGTGAAAGGGACATCATAGCAGAAAGTTTGCAAACAGAAGTGAATTGTAGTAATCGCAATTGAATTGTATGATTAGTTCAGTTTAAGATTAACAACGTGATTCAAATCGTATCGGTTGAAACTCGTATTGAATCATATGAATCTAATCGTGAATCACATGATTCTAGCTACCACGTCTAAAATGAATCTGGATGAACTACATATTTATTTCGGTGCACATTTCTGTGTTTTGTTTTGCTACAATAACATTACTATTTTTTTTAACTTATGTAATGGAAACTGGTTGCTTCTATGGTTGTACTAATTAAAAGAAGAAACATTTGTTTTATATAAAAAAAAGAAGAAACAATTATAATAAAACTTCTTAGGAATGCTTTAAAATATAAATTTAGTATCTCATTTCTTTGTATGCATCCTTCTAAACTTCTCATTTAATTACACTGATTATCTTGGCATGTTGTTCTTGATTGCCTAACTTTTTGTACTATAAAAATAAAACAGAGCTGTACTTTATGATCAAATCATTATTTTTTTGTAAATAATAGAACATGATGGATTGGTTTTGCTTCTGTAAGAGGAATGGAGAAAATGCTATTCACCTTGTGTTGTATTGCCCAATTACTAGAGAAGTTTGGGTATGGTGTACTTGATCATTTTTAGAGTTGAGTGTAGGGCTGTTCACGGGTCGGGTCAATCCGGCAACTGACCCGACCATGGCGGGTTGATGAAGTAATCAACCGCTTTCGACCCATATAGTGTTCGAAATCTACGGTGAGAGAGATTCAGTTTTGCGGTCGGTCTCGGTCAAGTCAACGGGTCGTTGAAAAACATAAACACCAAAAAATAGAAGAGAAAAAAAAAAAGAAAAAGGTTTCAAGGAATGCTTCTTGAAGAAGGAAGCAAAAATTAAAAGGGCTTTTAAGGATTGCTTCTTGTGGGAGGAAGAATCATAGAACAACAAAGGTAACGATGTAGGAAGACTCACTAAGAAATCATTGAGTGTTCAACCGTTTTGTTGAGCGATTTTCGATTGGTCGCTGTTTAACATCAACTTTCACCAGGAATAACACAATTTAGGGTTTGTCCCTTTACCTTCGAGTTATGGATGACTGCTGGAAATCGAAATAATCAAAAATAGATGCAGGATTTTTTTTGGGGAGAGAGAGAGAGAGAGAGAGGGAGAGATACACAGTTAAGGATGGATTCTAGAACAAAAATGTTTGGGACCCCCACAAAAGAGGATTTTACGACCTCTATTGATGTATTGACCATTGATGTGTTTGAATTTTTTTTTCTATCTCTGACAATGACATAAATGGTCCAGATCATTTTGGGGGTTGTGTATTGTGAGGGTATCATTGCTGGATTTTGAAGGATTGCTTCTTGTGGGAGGAAGAATCATAGAACAACAAAGGTAACGATGTAGGAAGACTCACCAAGAAATCATTGAGTGTTCAACCGTTTTGTTGAGCGATTTTCGATTGGTCGCTGTTTAACATCAACTTTCACCAGGAATAACACAATTTAGGGTTTGTCCCTTTACCTTCGAGTTATGGATGACTTCTAGAAATCGAAATAATCAAAAATAGATGTAGGATTTTTTTTGGGGGAGAGAGAGAGAGAGAGAGAGAGAGAGAGAGAGAGGGAGAGATACACAGTTAAGGATGGATTCTAGAACAAAAATGTTTGGGACCCCCACAAAAGAGGATTCTACGACCTCTATTGATGTATTGACCATTGATGTGTTTGAATTTTTTTTTTCTATCTCTGACAATGACATAAATGGTCCAGATCATTTTGGGGGTTGTGTATTGTGAGGGTATCATTGCTGGATTTTGAAATTGGTAAAATCATTTTTTTTTTGAGGAGAGAGAGAGAGAGAGAGACATGAGGGAGTAAGATTCAATGGTGGGTTTTGAAAATCAGAATAATCAATTTTTTTTGGGAGGAGATAGAAGAGAGAGTAAAAGAACTGAAGAGAGATGAATAATTAATTTTTAATTTGGGAGGAGAGAGAGGTGAATGCGTGGGAAAGAGAAAAATTGAAGAGGTGTGAGAACAGAAGATACACAAGGAGAGAGAGGGAGACAACCTCATTGTCAGGATATATGTCAATCAAATGCTAAAAAGTCATTGTCCACTGTCAAGTTATAATTGCTTAGAGATAACGGGAATATAGACGAGTGATA